AACAAAATCCTAAGAATGCCTTATATGGAACATCAATATTATACTTCTACATAATAGCTTATCTATTAGAATTTGTCATCATTTTATTATTTATCATGATTACTTTTATATTTTTATTGATAAAATAGATCTATAAATTATCTTATCCCCAAAAAAAATCAACCTTATTTGCATTTATGATAATTTCAATTATTTATGTAAAAAAATAAAAAAATTCTTTAATTAAATTTGCTACTAGAGTAGAGTGAATATTGAAATGCAATTTAATCCACACTTTAAAATACCATGCTTGATAAAATTGTTTAATTAAAATTATCTTAATTTTCCTTAGAATACCTATGCTATATCTTTAGATAATTAGATAGTAGACTTATCTTAAATAACCAATATTATTTGATTCCATCTAGTTTGAAGGTGAAATTTTAAAAAGATGAAGGAATTTATTAAGTTTAAACTCAAATCTTAATTAATTAATATCTTTGACTTTTTTCACTTATAACATTTTGTTTTGGATATTCTTAAACAAGTATAAGAATTAGTTTAATTTTATTAAGGCATTTTACTAACAATACAAAGTTGAGTATTATTATTTATATGTAACCTTTTATGATTGTAACAATTAGGATATTCATTTGAAATTGAAATATAATGTTATCTTATTTAAGATAGAGCTGTAATTTAAAATGATTTAACAATGGGAATTTCAGTTTATTTTTTGTCTCATCAGATTCATAACTCCAAAGAAAAAATTTTTTTATATTCAAAAATTTATAAATTAATGAACTTTGAGAGTTATTCACAGATTTAAATTAATATGAATGTTTATGAATGTAATATAGTTTAATACAATAATAAATTATTAAAACAAAATGAAATTATTGATAATTTAAAATTAAAGTACTCTCCTTAAAATTATGCCAGTAGTTTTGGTTCACTCTATCTTTTTTAAAAATATTAGAGGATATCACTTAGCATTTATTATAGGGTACAATCCTTAGATTAGTAGTTCAAAGTAAATGTAGAATAAATGTTCACTTTTTCCCAAATTTTTTTTAACCCTTTTTTGAAATAATTTAATGGAAATTTTTTTTTTCAAAACATAACACCATAACACAAAAAAACCACCCTATCGTGTTTTATAAGATATTGAGTAAAACACACACATAATATTTATCTATTAAGGCCAGTACAATCCTAAACAGAGCCAGCAACACTTTAGGTTTGCATATCTTCTTTTATCACATAACTGTGGAGACATAAGTCATGTCTCAAAAAAGAATAACTTTCATCAGGGGTGATGATTGGTTATATTTATATGGATTAAGTTATTTTAAAAAACCCAGAATTCATTGAAAGAGAAGTAAGATGGAAAGAACAAATTGAAGAGTTGGAAGCTAAAAAATTGACCTTAATAAAGAAGAAATGAATCACCTAACAGTAATAAAAAGGTCTAACTTCCTTCAGATTCGACGAATCCCATGGTATTTTGAACTATGGCCAGTGGAGAAAATTTATAGAATAAAACCTTTATGTAACTCTCGATAAAAGATCACCTTTCCTCACACAGAGGTAATTGGGTCGGAAAGATTGAGTAAATTTGAATTATACTCAATATACCACCTTGAAACTCTAAAGAAAGTGCAGAAAAGAATGACTTTTCAAATGAGTGACGTAGCAAAATTCATCAAAAAGATGATAAATAATGATTGTGAGGATATTATTATTATTAGAAAAATTCTTCTTCGATTTCTTAAATAACTAGTTTTTAATTATTCAAACTATTTTATGGAAATTTAAAGAGGACAATTTTCTCATCATTCATTATGTTGCATATTTTAAAAGTATATCATAAGTTGAAATTCTGTTTAGCTAAAATACTATTATATGTATTCTATATGCTACTTTGGATAGGTAAGTATACACATTGAGCTTAAGTTAATCAGTAATTAAGATCGTTGAATGGTTATTTCTTCTAATTTTAATAAAAATGAGCAAAATCATTTGTCCAAATTTTTAATCCTTTCAAGATTTATAGTATCTTTTTTATTATCATTTTTATTAAATAATATAAAAGTAGTTGTTTCTATCTTTCCTATTTATAAATATTATAACTTTTCATACCAATCCATCCTTAAAATAATACATAAAGTAAATTTATCAAAACAACCTTGATGATTTAATAAGAATGCCATTGCGTTAAGTTACTTTTTATTTTCTTAAAATAATTATTTACACCTTCTTTTAGACTCTATGTTGTGCTCGATGTTGTTCATTATAATATCTGTAGAGTATTTATTGAATGTAGTATCATTTAATAACAAATCTCTATAAATATTTACTGATAACAGTTATTAAAACACTATAATAATTCTTCACCGCCTACACTAAATTGACAATTATATTTTAAAAAAATTGAAAAACACTTTGGAGAAAAACTTAATTATCTATTTAAGAATTGAAGATGATGAGCTGAGTTGATAAAGGCATAATTAAAAATTAATAGAATGATTAACATTTTAATTGTTGCGCATAATAATCAAATTCTTTTTTATTCTAAAATACAACTTCCTTTTGATTTAAATAATGATCTTAAATTGTATCCCTAATAACTTACAAAGTGTCCATTTAAGATTAAAGCTCCTTATGCTTAAAATAATGCTGTTTGAGATATTCTGAGAATTGTAATGCTATTTGATACTAATAATAAATAATATATATACATGAAAGAGGATTTTCTTGAAATAAGGGTCCTATAAATTACAAAAGAATATTTTTATAATTTTCGTCAGCGAAGGATATTTCATTTCCCTTCTAAATATCCCATAGATGAATAGAGTAATCGAAACTACTTGAAGCTAATGTATTTCCATCAGGAGAGAAACAGACTGACATGATTCTATTAAAATGACCATCTAATTTGCCTTTTTATGATCCTGTTTTTACATCCCATAGACGGATAGATTTATCATGACTACCAGAAACTAATGTATTTCCATCAGGAGAAAAACAGACTGACTAAATACAACGATTATGACCATTCAATTTGGCTGTTTATTATCCTGTTTTGACATCCCAGAGTAGGATAGAGCAATCATAACATCCAGAAGCTAATAGATTTCCATCAGGAGAGAAGCAGACTGACTCAACATAAAAAGTATGACCATTCAATTTGGCTGTTTATGATCCTGTTTTTACATCCCATAGACGGATAGAATTATCATGACTACCAGAGGCTAATGTATTTCCATCAGGAGAGAAACAGACTGACTTAACACAATTAGTATGACCATCTAATTTGGCTTGTTATTATCCTGTTATTACATCCCATAGATGGATAGAGTTATCATCACTACCAAAAACTAATGTATTTCCATCAGGAGAGAAACAAACTGAAAAGATAGTGTAATTATGACCATCCAATTTGGCTTTTTATTATCCTGTTTATACATCCCATAAACGGATAGTCATATCATCACTACCAGAAGCTAATGTATTTCCATCTGGAGAGAAACACACAGAGCTGACAGCACTATCATGACCATCCAATTAGGCTTTCTATTATCCTGTTTTGACATCCCATAGAAGGATACAGCTATCACAACATCCAGAAGCTAATAGATTTCCATCAGGAGAGAAGCAGACTGACGTAACATAAAAAGTATGACCATCTAATTTGGGTTGTTATTTACCTGTTATTACATCCCATAGATGGATAGACTTATCATTACTACCAGAAGCTAATGTATTTCCATCAGGAGAGAAACATACAGAGTTGACACCACTATGATGGCCATCCAATTAGGCTTTCTATTATCCTGTTTTGATATCCCATAGAAGGATAAAGTTATCATGACTACCAGAGGCTAATGTATTTCCATCAGGAGAGAAACAGACTGACTTAACACAATTAGTATGACCATCTAATTTGGCTTGTTATTATCCTGTTATTACATCCCATTAATAGATATACCCATAATCACCACCTGAGACTAATGTATTTCCATCAGGAGAGAAACAAACTGAAAAGATAGTGTAATTATGACCATCAAATTTGGCTTTTTATTATCCTGTTTGTACATCCCATAGACGGATAGACTTATCATCACTACCAGAAGCTAATGTATTTCCATCAGGAGAGAAACATACAGAGTTGACACCACTATCATGACCATTCAATTAGGCTTTCTATTATCCTGTTTTGATATCCCATAGAAGGATAGAGTTATCCCAACTACCAGAAGCTAAAACATTTCCACCAGGAGAGAAGCAGACTGAACGAACATCATTGGTATGACCATCTAATTTGACTATCTTTTTTCTTGTTTTTACATTCCATAGAACAATAGAGTTATCATCACTACCAGAAGCTAATGTATTTCCATCAGGAGAGAAACAAACTGAAAAGATAGTGTAATTATGACCATCCAATTTGGCTTTTTATTATCCTGTTTATACATCCCATATACGGATAGACTTATCATTACTACCAGAAACTAAAGTATTTCCATCAGGAGAAAAACAGACAGATTAAACATCATCACTATGAGCATTTAATTTATTTAATTCATGGATTCTCAAGTTTATCCATTTACAATTCATTAATATTGCTCTATTTAAATTTATTCCACTAATGTTAACATTTTTAAATTCAGATCCACTAAAATTACATCGAGCAAAGTTAGCTCCTACTAAAGAAGTATTTTAGATCCTAATATTTTAAAAATTTTTGTTTCTAAGGTCTACCTTAATCAAAACTAATATATATAATGAATTAGACCCACATTATATCATATTCTAATCTATGGATGTGAGGTGAACTAAAAATTACAAAAATTTGATGATCTTTATTTTATTCCTGCAACTTTTAATCAGATTTTGCATAAAATCTTCATATTCTTGATTTGAATAGTCTAAATTATAGAAGCCATGATCTTTTAATTTTTTTAAAACATTAGTAGTTTGTTTGATGTTCTTTCTAACATCATACAATTGGTATCCATTTTCAACTTGTATTAAATTCTCTACTTTTTGTAAGATTTATTATTCTAAATTTGTTTGATTCCCAGTATCTAAAAGATATCCTATGCAATCTTAAACTTTTTCCTTGCGAAATATTTTCAATATGACACCAAATATTTATTCATCTACATCTTTAACTTAAGTAAAAATGTCAGCTAGAGCTTCCTTCTCTTAAAAAGTGCAATACATTTTTATATTTATTTTAATATTAAACTTCTCTTAACATAAATTTTAAGTTATATACTGCTAAATCGATAAAATTATCTTATTTATTTTTGTAAAAAAGAAGTTCAGACATTGTGTAGATTTGGAATTAATTAAAATAGAGCGTAAGAAGAATTCTATTCTAAAGTTGAATGGCTTTATTTTTAAGAAATAGAATAGATAATTTTTATATGAATAAATTAATTTATACTAAATTTGAGTTATATGATTGATTAATTTATATTCTAGTTAATCATCACTGTTTAAGCATATAGTTTTTTATGAAAATCTTCAGAGATTTGATTTTTTCTTAAGAGAATCCTACTAACTCCTAGCTACTAATATGATGTTTAGGTGTTTTATACATTTATAAAAATAACTAAAAAATGCAAAAAAATATTATTCATTTTCACCCATTCCAATAAAACATTTAAATTAAAGTGAATTGTTTGAAATTCCCTATATTTATCATTTCAACTAAAAATCCAAACCCAATATTACAAATATCAGGTAGTGAGCAAACTTGTGTTCAGCCTGATTCATTTCTAAAGTAAGGATTAACTAGAATATAAATTAATCAATCATATAACTCAAATTTAGTATAAATTAATTTATTCATATAAAAATTATCTATTCTATTTCTTAAAAATAAAGCCATTCAACTTTAGAATAGAATTCTTCTTACGCTCTATTTTAATTAATTCCAAATCTACACAATGTCTGAACTTCTTTTTTACAAAAATAAATAAGATAATTTTATCGATTTAGCAGTATATAACTTAAAATTTATGTTAAGAGAAGTTTAATATTAAAATAAATATAAAAATGTATTGCACTTTTTAAGAGAAGGAAGCTCTAGCTGACATTTTTACTTAAGTTAAAGATGTAGATGAATAAATATTTGGTGTCATATT